GGCTTTGGAGGCTGACCTGGAACTAGCTCTTGTAGACCAGGCTGGTCTCAAACTCACAGAGATCCACCTGCCTCTGCCTCCCAAGTGCTGGGATTAAAGGCGTGCGCCACCAACGCCCAGCTCCCTTTCCCCTCTTAATTCTGTTTGGATTTTTAAAGAGATGGCTGAAAACAGGAAACATCTCACTAAAATTTTATTGTATGAATGTTTTGCATTCATGTCTGTGCATCATGCATTTTCACTCTTGGTGCCTTGGAGGTCAAAAGAGGACAGCATCCTCTCAAACTGGTGTTATCAATGGCTGTGAGCCACCATGGGTGCTGGGAATCAAACTCAGATCTTTAGCAAGAGCAGCAAGTACTTTTGTTTTTTTTTTTTTCTCTGCATAGTCCTGGTGGTTCTGGAACTCTGCAGACCAGGCTGCTCTTGAACTCAGAGATCCACCTGCCTCTGCCTCCCAAGTGCTGGGATTAAAGGATTGTGCCACCACCTCAGGCTTTTCAGCAAGTGCTTTTAACTGCTAAGTCATCTCTCTAACCCCAACAATAAACATTCTCATCCTTATTCTAAACTCTCATGCTCCAAGTAGACCTGATAGGTACTTTAAAAAATAAATGTTCAAGGGTAACTTCAGTTCCACGTAATTAAACAGCTTGACCTCTTCTGACTTCTCAAGGCACTAAGCATGCATGTGGTACACAGGCACACAAGCAGGCAAAACCCATACACATAAAATTTTTCAAAAATCTTTACAAAGTAAATGTTCACCTTATTCTAATTTTTCCCTACTTTGAATTCCTCTGGGAAAAGTTTTCCCTTTTGGTTTACCACAGTGCCTCCTAAGACTATAAAGTGAAAGAAAATGTTTTAGCCAGTGCAAACCATTAAGCTTTAGTAGCTACTTGGTTGCCTTGTCCTGATACATGTATCCTTTATTTTATTTTATTTTTTAAAGATTTTATTTATTATGTATACAACATTCTGCTTCCATGTATATCTGCACACCAGAAGAGGGCACCAGATCTCATAATGGATGGTTGTGAGCCACCATGTGGTTGCTGGGAATTGAACTCAGGTCCTCTGGAAGAGCAGTCAGTGCTCTTAACCTCTGAGCCATCTCTCCAACCTCCAAATGTATCCTTTATTATGTGGGGGCATTTGTATATATGTGGCCCTTTCTAATTGCAAGCTCTTGCTTTTTCTAATGTGCCTAATAGCTCAGACAGCAAAGTGGTCTGTGAGGCAAATGTCAAGAAGTTCCATCTAAAAGGAAAAAAAAAAAAAAAAAAAAAAAAAAAAAAAAGGGGGGGGGGGGGGGCTCACACATATAATCCCCAGCACTCAGGAACCCAACTTCGGAGATATATACAGTGAGTTCCAGGCCAGGCTGTGTTACAGAGTGATAGAGTGTCTTCCCCTGGAAACAAATAGAGGAACAAGAAAAGAGAAAAGAAGCTGGGATTATAGGAATCTTCTACCATACCTAGTCATTCTTTTTCAAATAAAGGTTCCTTTCATGAAAACTGAAGAGATGGTTTAGCAGTTAAGAGCATTTGCTGCTCTTACAAAGGGCCCAAGTTTGGTTTCCAGCACTAACACGACCGCTCAAAACTGTCTGTAATTCCAGTTCTGGGGGATCTAATGCCTTTTTCTGGCTTCCCTAGGCATGCACATAAAGTACATACATACAAGCAGGCAAAACACTCAAGCACATAAAAGAAATCATCTGAAAAATTAAAGATTCCATTCATGTGTAAGTGCATGCGTAGATTTAAAAAAAAAACAGTGGTAGTGGTACAGGCCTTTAATCCCAGCACTCAAACCAAACCAAACCAAACCAAAACAACAACAACAACAACAACAACAACAAAAACCAACAACAAAAACCCCAAAACAAAAAGCCAAACTCAAATCCAAAAACCAAAACAACAACAACAAAAACCCAAAACAACACCCTTCCACCAAAACAGTTCTACATAATTTTCCTTTTAATAATAACTATTCCAGTCAGGCAGTGGTGGCGAATCTCTCTGAGTTAAGGTCAGCCTGGACTACAGAGAGTTTCAGGACAGTCAAGAGCTACACAGAGAAACCCTGTCTTGAACCCAACTCCCATGCCCCCAAAACAAGTCATAGGGTGATCTCTGAGGCTTCTAAGCCACCTGTCTAACCAAAGATCTGTCTCAAAATAATAAGGTAGAGAGTGATAGAGC